CAACCTGAGAAAACAAAGCCACTGCCACATAAGCAAAGAACAGTTATGGCATAAGATAAAAGATAATTTTCCTTTATCTGGAAAACAATACTTCAGTTGGTTGCAGTCTTTACAGTAAGCAAGGGTTCAAATCCTACTTCTGACATTATAAGTTATTAAACACATGAATACTGGTCTGTCCACTGCTCTTCATTATATATTCAACTCGGTGTGGCATGCACTTAAATTAATATGAATATGTAAATTGTAACTTTATTACTCACACTCCTTAATCACATATTAACAAAGTTCCCCCTAAATTAGAAGCCAAAAATAAAATGCAGACAGATACAGGGTCATTTAAAATGATTCAATCCTCATTATAGATTTGGTTTGTTGGAAACATGTAGGCCTACTTTAAGCATTATGCAATATGAAACCAAAACAAGAGAAAATGTGATTAATAGATGCTATACTCCAATGTCTTTGCACATCCTTCATGGGTAAATATGACTAGTTCATTAATCCTCTTGGGTTTGTTGCTATCAGCATTGTTTTTGTGTGGAGGTTTTACGGTACTAGTGGCTCTTTTTTTTTTTTGACAGTAGGATGACAGTAAAGGGGGTATGAGAGAGCGGGAGAGACATGTGGCAAAGGACCACAGGTCGGATTGGAACCTGGGTCGGCCGCGTCGAGGACTAAGGCCTCCATTCATGGGTTGTGCACGTTAACCACTGCACCACCTGCCCGCCAATCAGTGTTGGTTTTAAATTCACAAAATTAGACTTCAAGTTAAACAACTGCAATCTAAACCCTGGTATCTTCCAAGACATATTCTGAGACAGTCTTGGTAGAACTTTTGACTTTTTTAGCTTCCCAACAGACACTATGGCGTTTTTTCCCCCCCACGAGTACCTGTCCATCATGCTCTTCACATACTATAGGCTTCCTGCAATGGAGGAACCAGGAAGCCCAAGAGCATCAATGAAAAACTTTTCCACTTCACTGTGATAGGAGGGTGTTATTCTTCGATTTTTCTTGTGTTTTGGGGTTGTAAAGTTCAATATTGAAGCCATTCCAATACTGTGAATATAAAGACCCAAGTCACTGGAAAAGTGGCTAAAGACATTTGGATAAAGACATTTTTGAAGTTCTTATTGTTTTTTTTTATTGAGATCATATAAATATTTAAAATTTAGCTTAAGCACCATATGTGTGATGGAGTGGCTGAATAGATGCTTTTGGTGGGAATTTTGGAGAATTTAGATGCAATGTGTTTACCACTGAGTTTAAAAGAAAATGGTTGCTAATATTTTTCAAATAAACAATATTAGTAATTCTGAAGTAAATATGCTAAAGTATGTATATGGTGTACAAGAAAGGGAACTAATAAGGCTGCAAATCAACTTTGCCTTCACTGATACAGAAAAGGTTTCAGTGTCATAGATTAGATTGGTGAAGCTATGTCATTGTAAAGATTAAGCCTTTCCAGAGACATGATATTGTGTTGAGTTCACTTTCATTTTTCTAAACCTTTAGGGAAGATTCAGTATTCAAGTATAAACATGTAGATTAATACATTTAGGCACCATTTGCACAGTTTCTGTTTATTCATATGGGTGTGATGCCACATTAGATTATGAAAAGAAGGATTTAAAAATCAAATTAAATACGTTTAATTTTAACATTAAAAACATGAATTTGATCTATTTTGTTATTGAAGTAAACACTATCTAAGCACTTTTTAAAATAGTTTCAGACACTATCAAAATGTTTGGATCAAAATATATATTTATTTTTTGGAGAATTTTTTGGAGGGTTTGTGGAAACATAAAGCTTAAATGTCAGCAATCAGCATGTGTCAGTATGCATTAAATTTGTTTAAAGTTTCAAATTATTTTTGCCAATTTACTTCTATAAAATCTGCAGTTCATGAAAAAATTTTTTTTAGACATGTAATTAGTGCACTGTATCACTAAAATCACATTTCATAAGAAATACTTTTTTAAACATATGTAGTGGTATTTACATTAATATCAATGACTAATATCACAATTTTGGACAGATGATATAAAAGCAGTGTATTTATTCCTCGGTGTCTCCTTTGTTTGGACTGTGACTTAATACAGCAGGAGTGCCACTGCACAGCAGGGTGCTCCCTAATTAGCCATGATATAAACTACAACCAGGAGGAGGGAGCACTAAGCTGGGAAATCACTGCCCACGTGTGAGCTCCAGGGCTGATAAGCTTTGTAGCGTCCTGCTGTGAGTATGATCCGAAGTGCCTTCACATGGTGGAGGGTAGAAAACCGCCAGCTCCATGGATTACTAAGCAGAAAGACATCTGTAAGCTGAGAGAAACAATTTTATTTAACCTCTAGTGGACTGCCAGGCACTTCTATCTGTCTAATGTCAGAGTAGTAGGAATTCTTCTTTATCTCAGAGGTTTTTTTCAAAGTTAAATTTTTATTAAATTCAAAGTTAACAGAAACTCACCAGTCCTCATATTCCATAGAGGGTAGAGGGGTTGTGCTCTGCTAATACACTAATGTGTACTGCTATTACAATGTCATGCATTTCCCCCTGACTCATCCTGACCTAAACCTCATGACTCAGCAGAAGGGTCCTTTAGTCTGGCTTTCCCATGAATCAGGATTTAGATAGTCAGTTCACCTTGAGTTATCTCCCTCACCATGACCCATCAATCTCTTCAGGAGGGAACATTGTTGGGTTCCTCTGGCTTGCCCACCAGAGGGCGCCGAGGATCCTCTTCTGCTCTTTTTTGTCTCTCTTCTCTTAGGGCTGGAGTCACTGTCAGGTTCTGGAGATTACCCTCTGCCTCCAGCAGAGTGCGCCGTGGGTCCTCCTGAAGCTGAGCCTCTCACACACCTGTGGCTGATCTAGTAATCAGGAGGACCACAGTATTTAAGCTACCTTCAGACCTGGATTCTACGCCGCAGTGTTGATCTTAGTTGGTTAGCTTCCTGAACCTTCTGCTATAGACTGAGTCTTGGTTGTTTCTAGGTTGAGACCAGATTCTAACTCTTCCTTGTTTCTGCCTCACAGGAATCCTGTCTCCTCGTGAAGCTCTGGATGAGCTTAGCCTCCTGTCTCCTCGTGAAGCTCTGGATGAGCTTAACCTCCTGTCCCCTCGTGAAGCTCTGGAAGAGCAGTCTCTCTGGCAACTCATCTCTGGCCTGCAGCTCTGGGAGAGCTGCATCACAAGAAACCAGTCTCAAGCCAGAAGTTCTAGGAGAGTCTAACCAGCTAATCTGCCCTGGTGAGCCAATCCGAAGATTCCTACGTGGATGAAACCCGGAGACTACTATGAGGAGTTTCCCTAGAGGTACCTACGAAGAATCTGTTTTCTAGAGTCCTCCCCGTGTTCTCTGCAGTGAGCTGGAAGCTCAAATCTAGGACTGCCTCGCTAACCTGAAGCTAGGAGCTTAGCCCCTCATGAACTCTTCCTACCAACAGTCTCCAGTCCCTGAACTATCTCCAGTGAACCCGCTCCCCAGTCTGAACCAATACCCGTGTCATATCCATGTTTGCACTTTAATAAACTCTTTTGGACATTTTACCCAGTTTCTCCGTGTGTGTTCTGCATCCTGGGCTAGCACTAAAACCCATCATGACAAACATAGACTTTGCACAAAAGTCCACTGGGTGGAGAATTACTTGTGATAAATCATTCATCATAACAACTGAGATCATGAGGAGCCAATGAGTGTAAATTTCTAATAGTCCTCATGGCATTTCATCCGTCCATGATTTAAATGACCGGACCCCTGTAGTACCATTTTAATAACTTTCCCAAGCATTAGTAGTAGCTTATGTTTTAAAAAGAAATTAATTATTTGGAGAACAGAATCTATAACAGGAAATTATTCATACTAAAAAAAAAAAAAAAAGAACAAAAAAAAGAAAACAATGTAAGAATTGGTAGCAACTGAATAGGCTGCTGGACCTTTTTGTTGGTCTGAAACTCTTCAACATATGATAAAATACTGCATTCTGAATGTGTTTAGACGATGATACACATTTCATGATACATGAAAGATGTTCCAAAGCCCTGCAAGGAAAATCAACACACAAGACAGTAATGGATACACTAAAATCAATCAAAAGTAAAATATATAATAAAATACATAAAAGTTGATCAATTTTAAAAAAGCTTATGAAAAATTTCATTTTTTTTTTTAATTAAATATGTATTTCATCCCTGTATAACCCACAGTAAAGCTGTATCAACTCACACCTGTGAAACAAAAATGCATACCATCATACCGTTTAAATAAAATGTTACAACTACTATTCTTTTCAAAATAACAAAACATAATGAATGTTGTAATTATGATATTTTGTTTTTTTGAGCTATTATTTTTCTTTAGACCATTGACAAATTTCCTACCCAACTAGAGGAAAGCTAGATGTATGAAATATTTGGGAGGCTCGTCGTATCCTAACATGAACCTGTGTGATTATAAATAGTTATTACAAAATGGCTCCAGGGTGCCTGCTCTAAGTGCTTATTCAAGATTGAAAGAAATGCCAGTCACCAGGATTCCTGTAATGCTTTTGCAGTATTCGAAATGTACAGTATAAATACATTTTAAAAAGCCACAGCTTGATAGTATAACAATGCTGCTATGAAAATATTTTTTCTACATAAATCCTTTAGTGCAGAAATAAAGGTAACAACGGTTAACAACATGCTTTGTATTGAATAATATGGACAGGTTAGATGAAAAGACATAATCAACAATCATGCATTTAAAGATATTAGTCAAAGTATTAATTTATTTTTTATTATTATTTGCTGATTAAAAAGAATTGAGTAAAAGTGGACACATACAGTATTTGCTTAGTCATGGGTTGGTAGGCATCCTCCTTGATCTCCACAAGAACGTTTAACTGGCTTAGTGCAATGGTAAGGTCCAAGTCATGTGTCCAAAGCCTCAGCAGATTTCAGTTCAATCTCAAAGTGATTAGCAAGGCTTTTCAGTCTATCCTTAGCGTCTCTTGCATCTGATTAGCAGGCAGGCCAACTTCTGGAGGGAAGCTTTGAAGCGGCAACTTTCCTGGATGTCTCTTTAGGAACTTCCATTCAACTCTCTACTACTTTGGAACTATATTTCATTTTCAGTAATGTAATTATCTGGATTATGTATTTATGCTATGTAAGTATTTTTCTTTATTTATGCATATGCATAAATAATATCCACCTTATTTTGTCTGGTCTATTCCTTGAACATTTCTATCAGCTTGGTCGGGTTGGTTTTATTTTGCTGGTTGGACATATTTCCACAGCTTTTTGCCAACCCCAAACCCAGCAGATATACCGCATTAATCAAAACATTCATAGCCTTGTTTGCAATTTTTCTATGTTGAGTAAAGAAGGAGAAAACATTTGCATTACTAATTTAGTGGATAAAAACAAATACTCTATCAGTTCAGCAATAGTACATTTTCAGTAAGATTGGACTGTGTTCAGAATTTTTTTTAAATAACACTAATAATATATGCACTTACATATACTGTACGTGAAACTGATAAGAAAGACGGTGTAACACATTGTATTGTTGACCCCTCATTTAACTTTCTATTTGGAAAGAACACCATCATTTATACAAAGGGGCTCACATTTTAATGTTTGCTTTGTACACAATATGCTCTCAAAGTTTAGTTTCTGTATGTTTTAGCCAAAACCAAATATATCTTTTCTCACATTTGAGAATTTGATTCTTGCTGAAGTCAAAGAACACCAGGAAAAGATTAACACTGAGTGTTAGTAATGAAATTACATTGAATCAAATCAATATGTTGAGGACGCACACAGGGCCTAAATCCTAAGTTTAACATGATAATCAGCATTTTATTTAAGATATATTTGAGACAATAACACAGATTTGTAGCCTCTAAACTGAACTGATGTTGAACCATAATCTGTAAATTCTTCTGTAGAATTAACAGACTTTTGCTTGTCATATTTTTCTACCCCCCTCGCAAAAATAAATAAAAAACAAAACAAAATTATAATTAAACATTGCTAATATAAAACAGAGGTTGAGAGACAAAGCGTGAATGTCAGTTAAGCTTGGCCTATTTTACTGCTTCCAAAATTTCTTGCTTTGCATCTCTTTGTAGACGAGAAGGCATTTCATCCCTTCCTGTCAGAGAGAATTGTCGTAAACCCCCTTAGTATTGTCACTACAAGAATACATTGTACTCCAATGTGATATTTGGGCTATGGTTAGTAATCCGTGGATTTTTATTACAGGAGAAACTGGCAAACAATGTATTTTTGCTGGAGATGGAGACAATCACTGAGGTAAAGTCCACTTTCACTGCTTGCACAGGCATAAGCTTGTTATTTAAAGTCACATGAGGGATTTATTTGGGGCTGTACGTCCATTATCCGTGCCTTCATTTACCATTTGATCTCCACACCAGTCAGAACAATCCCTAAGTAGCAACCAAGTCCTTTGCAGCCTGCTTAAAATGGCAAAGATAACTGAAGATTACATCTATTTTTATCACTTAGTACTTTAAGCCAAAGCATTAAGGGGTCTGTTGTGCATGAAAATTCTCCAGGATAGTCTGTGGCATAGATCTTTATAGATTATACCTGTTAATAAGTCTAGTGATCTAATTGTGAGAGCACAATTTAGTCTTAAATGTAAAAATAATGTTAAGAGAGCAGTTAAAGAATTTTAAGAAGAGCCCCACAAAAACAGTAATGTTTAATTCTCTATATGCACACTATTTCAGACTAAAATAGCATTGTCCTGATACACATAGATGTTCTTTTTCTAAAAGAAGAACTGTGGATCGACAGGGTTGTTTTTCAGCTAGTTAGCATGCAAAAGCAGACATTTATGAACTGGAGAAATGTCCAAAATAATAGTAGCTTGTGCACTAAATCTTAATACACTGCAGAAATGAAAGTCAAAACCTAGCTTAAAGGTATAGTGGAGGATTTTTTAAAAAGACTCACCCTCTCCACTTAAAAAAAAAATAAAAAATACACCTGCACAAACCTGTACCTGCTTCTGAGAGGGAGCGCCCTTTAGTGCAAGAGCATGCACGAGCCCATTTCTACTTGTGCACACTCTGTGAAAGAATATTTGCAATTTTTCCACTATGTCAGACTCATCACCAGTAAGTGAAAATGGGGACGAGTCTCACAAAAACATATCTCCAGAATGATTGACAATTACAAGGACCACCTATTCTGACGATCCACCTGGAAAAAGAACATCCTCCACTATAACTTTAAATGTTATTCAAGGTATAAGGTTATATTTTTAAGACAAACTCTTATAGTTTTGAATTTAACCAGGAGAAAAATTTTTTTTTTACTAATTTACATATTCCTTTCTTCTTCATTAGTCTTTATTGTAAAAGGTTTTCGAGATGATATATTCTACTATTTCCTGTCTTGATAAATGATAGTCTTTCCTTTATTCATTACTTTCTCATCTTTCTTTAAGCCCTGGATAAGTGGAGGTCATGCAGACCACCTTTCTCCACGACATTCATGAAATCCCTTTCAAAACTCCAACAGTGTGTCTGGCCCACGTTTTCTACTCTTCTGACGTCATGGACGCAATCATCAAATCCCGATAAGCCGAGATGTCCTGTCACAAGCACAACTTCCACTGCTTCACTGCAGTTGGAGGAGAAGATTCCCACAAGTCCTCTGTGCCCTTTGAGCATCACACCCCCTGGCTACCACGGATTCCTCAGCATGGCATGGTAGCCTATCAGGAATTAGAGCATGGATGCTGTCTTTGCTCTGCATATCAACAGGCCCAAACTCTAGAGGCTGTAGAGAACCAGCTGTTGCCTTTCTATCACCCTTATCATAATCACCCGCCGCACCAGTATGTTCTACGGGGGCCAAGTATGCATGAACGGACACACTCTGCCAAAGAATCCAATATTCATCATAGAATACATGATAAAAAGATTGTGTTGGTGAAAAACAGCGACCCTTCATTTAGAAAGACTATATCTCTGCACTCTAAGGGTCTGCATAGCTTTGGTCTGTTCTTAAAGGAGGTTTCTGAACTCATGGAGTATCACGTCAGGAAACTGTACACTCAGGAGGGCTTTAAGGTGAGGTGAACCAGATTGATCTGCTGTTAGTTTACTTTACCTATTATTGTTTTTTTTAATAACATTTTATTTTATTAGAGCTCAAATCTAGTAATTACAGAAATGCATCATGAAAGTACATTAAAATTATATTTTTTTGACCAAAGTAATATTTTCCTCAATAAGCATATAGGTGATGTTGCACATTTAATACAACATGAAGATGTTTAATATTTACAGTTGTATTAATAGGGATTTTAAAAAGTCTAGTAACTGATAGGGAGGAATAATTAATGTTTGGCAGCTTTTAATCTAGTACCAAATAGTTAGCAGATGCTGTCCTTTATAGACATATGGCAATGATCTAATACATCATGTATATAAGGAGAGAGAACAACAATTCATGACATTAAATGGCATTTATAAAACAAGCACAACAATAAAATGTTTTTTTTTATCATTAAGTATAAACTAAGTAGCTTGTTTTTATCCAACTATGATAAGGATTATCAGTGCATGCATTTGAGGGAAGGAAATGGGGATATTCCTCTATATATCATACACCAATTCAGACTGTGGATATCTCCCCAAAAGCCCATTAATCTTGGTCAAATCAGAGCTATTTTTGAGAGAGGAGAAACAGGTCAATGTTAAAACTTCGGTGCTTTGATACCAGAGGTGTTTCAGAAATGTGACTTCCATGGTGGCAATTAATTATCTTCACATGGGCTTTGTGTGACCACAGATGGAGTCATTCATCTGCCTTTTCTGACAGTGGATTTTAAACCTAACAGTGCAAAGTCATCAAAACCATCTATACATAAGCAAAATGAAAAAGAAAATCAATTTATAAACCTTTTTGTTTTCAATGTTTCCATGTTGCTAATGTAAAGCTATTGCAGAAGTATTCAAAAAAGCAAAAACTATACCTGTAAACAAAATTTGTAACTAATGACATTTTATATTGTAAGAAAATCTCATTTTAAAAGCAACTTAGAACTGAAAAAATAAGCAAAAAAATTTCAATTACTTAAATTAAGGTACTTTAATTTAAGTTTAATTTACTTTACCTGCTTTGTCCTGTAACCGAAAAAAATAAATACATTTTTGCTGGACCTTAAGTCAAAACAAGATTTTAAAATCAATCTTCTTTTGAAAATAAATACAAAGAAGAGTTACACCAATACAGGTTTTTATACACTTATTTTTCTGTTTTTTGGTAAAACGTGTGTGGTAGCAGTGTGAACTATAATATATTAGAAATATGACTCCCTACGACGCATTAGAATAATCTTTGAATTTCAGATGAAGTGATCCCAAGTTACTTTTTATTTTGCAAGGAATGTTTTTTATTCCTTTAAAAAAGTTATAAAACATACATTTCTAAAAAAAATACCGTCTGTTTGTTGATAAGATATGAAACAGATGTCCAAAATCCTTTTTACAGCAAATTTTATGTGTATTTTATGTGTAAATTAAAAACAAAGCAATGTCTTTTTCACAGTCCATCCATCCATCCATCCATCCATCCATCCATCCATCCATCCATCCATCCATCCATCCATCCATCCATCCATCCATCCATCCATCCATCCATCCATCCATCCATCCAGAAGGCACTCTACCCTTTTCTTGCTCAAGACCATGTTTTCGGATTTGGAGGCACAGATCCATATACCGGCTGCTTCACACTTGGCTGCTAACCGCTCCAGTGGACAAATATTGAATGAATATTGTTTTTTATTGTCATGGTCAAATAGATTAGGATATCATCAACAAACACATATTATGATATCTTATGTTTTTTAAAAGCACACCTCATTGGAAGCATATATATAATAAAAATAGACTTGCTCAAATATGCAAGCTTGAGGAGCTTCAAATGTAAATGGTGGATGGTTCTTTCTGTCAAATATTAACTGACTTAGTTTATAATTAGATAATACTCTACCTTTTTGCAGATTGACAGCATTCAAAGCCTTCTGCAGTGCCCTGGTGTTCTGGTTTGTGTCGGACGGGAACCCTCTCATCCTATGATCATGGAGAATTTTGAGAAAACATCCAGCAACAAACTTCCAAGGCTGAGTGGGAAGTCACGCACCACTGAACCCACTGATGGGGATGAAAGTAAGAGAAGCCACTTTTAAAATCTTTTAATGCAATATTTAATTGCCGAAGCATGAAAATATCTATAATATCTATAATTAAGGACAAATAATTTTCTTTTCATTACCTATTACACTCCATGGAACTAAAATCAAAATATTCCCTGATAAATTAATAGACTGTAGTAAATTACATCCATATGAATAATTTGAGATGCCAAAGAGGACTAATTTTTTTTTTTATTTGTCTCTTTCTCATTGCAATTAAAATTAACTAAGCAATCACTGCAAAGACAAACATCACCCTCCCAAACCTGGAAGATGTCAACAGAGGCACAAAGTACTCTGTATCATCTGACAAATCTGCACCCGATGGAAGGGACTCCCCAGAAATTGTTAATTCCTGCCCAGCAAGTGGCGACAGCATAAGAGAAGATGACATAGAGAAATGGGTTCGAGTTAATAAAGACGGGAGTTTGTCCATGGAGATGAAAGTGCGCTTCAGACTACCAAATGATAAAATATTACATTGGTCTACAAAAGTAAAAAAGACAGCAGGCCAGAACAATGATCAGATCAAAGGCCACAATAATCCTAATCTTGCACATATTGGTGATGTAAGCTGTTCAGTATCTGAAATCACGTCCACCGATGAAGCTTTTTTCACTCAGCATGTTCCTGGGCACAGAGAGAAACCACACTGTCCCTACTGCTGCAGTCAATGTCAAGGTTATGAGACATGGAAAAATGTAATAGGGAAACATGGTGCAAGTCGGTGTAGTCATAGTTCTAGTTCAAGTGCATCCTCCCATACTGTGGTTTCAAGGAAGACAGTGATTGAGAGGCAAACTATGTCCAGATCAAGTGAAGAGCATGCAGATCAATTGGTAGAGACACGCATGCAAAGTATTGAGGCTGCTGAAATGGTGTTTTGTACCGTCCAGAGGGAGACTTGTTTACCAAAGTGCAATGTGAAACCCTCCATTGTAGAAAATGGCAAGTCGACTGGTTTAGGCAATTGTTCAAATAACTTTGATCTAAAAACTGATAAAGAATTCGACCAAGAAGAACAAACTGAAGAAAAGGGTGAAGGAAATGATGAATCAAGCTCTCAAATTTGCAACTCTGACAAGAAAGAAACCATGGGGAGTAAAACACTGGGCACAGACTCACTTAAGAGTTCAAGGAAGCATACCAAGCCAAAAACTTCTAAACCGTCTTACATTTGTCACTGTGGAGAATCTACTGGGCCTCAGGTCAAACTGCAAGAAAGCATCAAGAATAAAGCTGGAGAAAACGATGAGATACAAAGAGATAAATGTAGTGTCATGTCTATGAAATCAGATGCATCTTGTAGATCAAATAGATCAGAAACAAATCAGACAGTAGAAAGTATAGAAGAGAGGGGGGGATTCAAAAGTGCCATGTCAGCTAATTTGATTAGTCCAAGAAATTGTAGTTCTGCTGTTTCAGATGATACAACTGAGGGATTGCAAGCATGTGATGAGAAAGAAGAAGAAGACAGAGCATCTAGCAAAATCTCTATGAAATCCTTTAAATCTTCTAAATCTGTAAAGGCACCACCTGTACGACATGAGTCAGAGGAGGACGTGGAACAGCAGGCTGAGGATGATTTAGAGCCGAGGACACAGAGTTTGCTGTCAGCTTTATCCAGCGAGTCAGCTGACTTAAAAGGAATAACACAAGAGACATCTGAGGAGGAGGACAACCAGAACACAGGAGAAGAAATCGAGAGCAACTCTGTACTCAGTGTGAAAAGTGCAATATCAGAAATTTCTACTGTTTCTAAAGGGTCAAGCACTTCAGAAGGAATACCAGTGGACAATCAAGCTGCAGGGGGAATAAGACCAAGTTGTATGTCTGCTACTTCAGAGAGGTCAACTGTATCTCAAACATCCAGAATGTCACCAAGTTTGGAGGAAACTTCTGAGAGAGCGACCAGTGCTTTGTCAACAAAATCCAACTTATCAACAAAATCTAAAAAAACAAAAACCACTGAGCTATATGTTACAAAAAAGTCTAACATCCCAGAAAATGATAACCCTGAAAGTGAGAGCAAACTGAGACCACAAAGCAAACTGTCTGTAAATTCAGAAAAGTCTGTCAAATCAAATGTATCTGCTAAATCAAGCAAATCCCAAAAATCCGAAGTTGTTCATAATAACAATAGTGACAATATGAAGGAGGATAATTGCAACATTACAGAAATACCAGATACTGCTAAAACAAAAGCATCAAGTGTTATTTCAGAAAAATCTGTCAGCTCGACATCTGTTACACCCACTAAACAAAATGCCTGTAAAGAAGATAGGACAACTATAGAAAGAGCCGGGAGTGCCATGTCTGTAAAATCTGGCAAATCACACACGTCTGTGATATCTTTAAAATCAGAACCTTCTCAAGTTTTTACATCCCACCCTGGTAATATTGATAACGAAAGAAATCACCTGCATGCATCTGAGGGAAGATCAAGCAGCATGTCAGATAAATCCATCAAGTCAAATATTTCAGCAAAATCAAGTAAGACAAAAGGTTGTGAAAAGTTGGATGAATGTGATGCAGCGAATGGGGAACAGGGACCTGGTGCTACATTATTAAAATCAGTGCAATCACACATCAAAACGGAATCAATCCTTTCAAAACCTCCCACAAAATCTAACATGTCAAAGACAAGTGATGGTAGTACCGAAGGAAGTTCTTCAGATCAAGATCAATGCGGAGAAAGAGCTTTGAGCAATATGTCAGCTGCATCTGCTAAATCTTCTAAATCACATGCTTCTGTGGCATGTGCAAAAAAGAATGTCTCTGAAATCTGCTGCAGTCCCACTGAAGAAATATTTAGTGAAGAAGAAATTGAGGGGAGATCAGTCAGCTCAACATCTGTGCAGTCAGTAAAGACAAATATCTCCTCCAGATCAAGTAGGTCAAACTGTTCTGCTCACGCTATGGCCTCTGAAGGTACTGAGTTGCTTTTTCAGTACAGTGAGGAAATGAAACCAGAAAAAAGAGCTGCATGCAGTGCATCAACCAAATCTGTTGAATCACAAAATGTGAGATCAGCAAGTGTCATGTCTAAAACATCAACAAAATCAAATATTTCTACTCAATCTACCAAATCAAATACTTTGGACGTGTCTTCAAGACCTGGTCAACATACAAATGAGCAGGCAAATCAAGAGAGAGTTCCCAGTGTACTTTCAGTCAAATCTACAAACTCAGCTACTTCTACCAAATCAACAAAATCAAAATGTTCTAATAAAGCCCTACAAGAGAAAAGTTCAAATACCTATGATCAAGAGAATGACCAAGAGGAAAGACCACAAAGCAGAGGATCTGTCATTTCTGAAAGATCTGCAGTGTCTGCAGAGAGACCCCATAGTAATCATTTAGCTAAGTCAAAGGTTTCCGATGTTGAGTCAGACACAAGTGATATAATTTCTGATGAAGGGCATTGTGAAGATGAGGCAGAACAGAGAGCTCACAGTGCACTGTCAAATAAAACTGCAATATCAACTACATCAGCAAAATCTACTAAATCAGCAGAACATGTTGACCTGTATGAAAACATATCTAATAACGGCGAAAAGGCAGAAAGAGCTTTAAGTAATATTTCTACTAGATCTGAAAAATCAACGCAATCCAAAATTTCAAATGTTTCTACAAGTTCAAAGATTGATGGGTTGGAGGGTGTCCACCATGAGGAAACAGATGTTGAACAGAGGAGTGAATTTCGACCGATATCACAACAATCGATTGACTCAATATGTTCCATAAAATCAAATAAATCAATGCGCTCAGCTATTGCTGAAGTGGACGATAGCTCGCTGGATAGTGAGGAGGAGAAACACGAGAATAATGGTGAGGAAAGATCTCCAAGCAGCATGTCAGGCAAGTCAGTCCAGTCCTGCATGTCAGAAATATCAATAAAGTCTTTGGAAAGGACACCAAGGTCTTTATCAGGAAAATCTGTAAAATTGAGTTCTGAACGGTCAGCAAGCTGTGCTAAATCATCAAAATCAAATAGATCGGATCATCAAGCAGATGAAAATATGGTTGGTGATTATGAAGATGTGGAAACCCTAAGCAATCTGTCAGCCAAATCAGAAAAATCAACAAAATCAAATGCGTCTAAGGGATGCCAAAGACTGAAACCTTCCAAAGTTTGCTTGGAAAATGCAGCAGTCACTCAAGAAGAAAGAGCAGCTGGAAATGGCAAGAAAAGTAAACCTCTATCACCTCAGTCAGTTAAATCAAACCTATCAGTAAAATCAAATACTTTAAAATGCTCTGATGTCCCAGCCAGAGAAAGTGTTGATATTTCAGACAGCGACAATAATGAAGAGACAAATATAAAAAGAGCATCAAGCAGCATGTCAACCTGTTCTGTCCGGTCAAGTGCTTCCAAAACTTCTTTCAAGTCTGAAAAAAGAACAGCAAGTGCTTTGTCAGAAAGGTCACTTGCTTCAGTGATATCAACCATAACAAATACTTCTGAAGTAATGTCCACAAAGGCTGGTCCTCTTGATGAGTTAAACAGTGAAGATGAGGAGAGAACTCCTAGTGTCATCTCAGTCAAATCTACTAATTCAGCAAATGAATCGACCCCACTGGATTATGAGAAACACACAGCGAGACCGTCCAGTAATCTGTCAGTGAAATCAGGCAGATCAGTAAAATCAAATGTATCTAAAAGATCACAAGTTTCTGATGTTCAGTTAGAAAACCATGCTGACAATTGTGATATAACAGTTGTTGAAGAGGACAGTGAAGGAAGCATTATAAGTGTAGCATCTACTAGGTCAGTTAAGTCACAAAGCGAAAGGATTGACAGTGACAATATTGAAAGTTATAAAAGACCTCCAAGCAGCACTTCAGCTAAATCAGTCATCTCACTTGTTTCTGAGAAATCTGCCAAGTCTTTTGACAGAGTACTAAGTGCATCATCCATTAAATCACACATTTCAGCAAAGTCAGTTCAATCAAATATTTCAGATGCAACACCTGGAAAAACTATTGAAATGTATGACAAAAGGAGTGAAAGTCAGCAAAGACCAAACAGTGTCCAATCCTCTAAAACTGCAAAGTCAACTACTTCTACAAAATCTGCTAAAGTAAAAGAACATGAATGTTCAGCCGAAGATGGAAGAGAAAATAAAGTCAGACACCCAAGCGGTACCTCTGCTCGATCAACGACTTCAGCAAAATCAAATGTCACTGAAGTATCCCAGAAATCAAAAGCCACTGCTTTTAGTTGCGATACAAGTACTAAAAGTTTTAACGAAGATAATGGTACAGAGGAGTTTACTGAAAGTAGATCAGCAAGTTCAATGACCATCAATTCTGCCAAGTCAGATATTTCGTCAAGATCTGGTATGTCAAAATGCTCAACTGATATCCCTGTTCAAGAAATTGTCAGCATACCAAGCTCACCAGCTTCAACCATTTCTATAAAGTCAAATAGCTCTGGAGTGTTTTCTGATAATAATCTAATATTGGATAAAGTACATAAGAAAGCCTCTCATGACAGATCAGAGAGTGCAGCATCCACAAAGTCAAAAAAGTCAAAGATGTCAGCTGCTCAAACAGAAGGATCAATGAGTGATTTGTCAGTAATATCAGCAAAGTCAATTCCATCAAATGTTTCTGTAAAATCTACAAAATCAAAAGCTTCTAACACCCTATCTGAACATGGAACAAACATTGGTGCCTTAGACATTGAAGGGGAAGGACACTTATCACCATTCAGGATGACCGAGTCAGCTGTTTCTCGTCATTCAAAAAACTCCAGGTGTTCTGATGATGCAACTACTCAGGGAACGGATACTCCCGGCGTGGACTACCGTGAAGAAACAGTACAAGATAGAGCTGAAAGTTGCACATCAATTAAAACAAGTTGCTCTAATGTATCTGAAAGAGCCATTGGATCTAAGGCCTCTAGTCATCATGGCTTAAATGTTGATGGAGAACCAGCTGAACACCATGTTGCAGAAACTAACAGTGTGGCAGAGAGGGCAGACAGTACTGGTTCTGACAGATCTCTTAAATCAGTCGCTTCAACACAATCCAAGAGATCACTGAGGGGGAGGTTAGGTAAAGGAAACTCCAGAGAAGAAAGTTTGGGCAGAGAACCAACAAACACACCATGCAAAGTTACAATGGTGGACAACATGTTAAAGGGACAAGAAATAGCTCAAAGACCACCCAGCACTTTATCAGAAAAATCTGCCAAGTCAACAAGGTCCAGCATAAGTACAAAGTCTTGCAAATTACAAACATCTGATAAATCAGCCAAAAGAAATCATGTAGAAAACATGAACTGCACAAGTAGTAATTCCTCCATCAAATCAACAACATCAAGGCATTCAGGTGGTAGATCAAACTCTTCTGAAACTTTCAATGTTTCACCTAAAAAAGTCAATGTAACTGATGAAAGCACAGAGCAGAACACTGAGATGAAACCTTCGAGTCCTATTTCTGCTAAATCAGTAAAAACAACAGTATCATCGGTCTCCACAAAATCCAAAGCCTCACATTCACAGATGGCCAAAGAAGCAGATCCATCAGAGAGGACTCACATTGTGTCTTCAGTAATGTCTGATGCTTCTTTAAGAACCATACAGTCCAACAGATCTTGCATCACTCCTGGGAAGGGGACTGGTGATGAAGACACTGATGATTTAACGTCAGACGCAAAATCAAACATATTAATGGATCCTTATACTCAGCAATCTGAAGCTCACAATAACGAAGATGCTTTAAGGAGATCCAATGCCACACAAAGTCCTGTGTCAACAAAATCAGATTTCTCTGAAGCATTAAGTAGATCTGAAGTCCCCTCTGTAACAATTGAAGAAACAGAGGAGAGATCTCCTACTGTTTTGTCGTCAAATTCCAAAGCATCTGGGAGTTCAAAAAAGTCGAGAACTTCTAAGAAACAAGGAGTAAAACGGGCAAGAAAGTCACAAAGCTCTTTGAGTGTGCACTCACATTTGTCTGTTAAGTCTAAAAAGACCAATGTAACAAATGTGTCCACTGCCATCACTGTTTCGGAGAATACAGGGAAGAGTTCTAGAACCAATGCCTCAAGAGGGCAGGTTGCTGGAGATGAAGGCATTTGTCCAAATAGACATCCAGTAGTATGCCATACAGATTCAGCTGAAAGTGACCTGTCCCAAACCCTGTCTGGTTCAGAAATTATGAAAGAAATTTGTGAAAATTCGTCCCCTGGAGAATCCAGATCTCATGGTTCAAAAAGGAAAGCAAATAGTGCAATGGACGCCACAGAAGCTGTCTCTAATAAAAGTAATAAAGGCAGCAAAGACAGGAAAAATGACATGGATAATGGTGACTTTGAGCTGGTTCCATCCATCTTACCAAATGCATCCCCCACCGAGGTGGTAAATGAATGGCTGAAAACCCTACCAACAGATAGAGACCATTATGAGATGGAGGAACTTCATGAAAATGACGATAGTGTAAAAGATATTGGTGCAGCTGAGAGAGTCAATGGAGAAGATGATGCTGAGAAAAATAAGTCTGATGCTCAAATTTTAAAAGAAGCCAATTGTCCCATTGAATTCCAAAAAGAGGACTGCAAAACAAGCACAGAGACACCAAAAGAAGAGAGCAGTTCTACTCATAGAGGAGACGGCTCAAAAATGTTTAACTCCATACAAGTTATGAAAGTACTTTTAAACCCTAAGCTTGACAGATGCAACAGTTTACCAGAAATCTCACCTGTGCATGGGCGTAAGTTAAGTACATCAGCTAAAGGTCTCTTAGATTGCCTTGTAAAGCTGCGTTTAATACAACATGACCCTGAGAATGCAAATGAAAAGGATGAAAGATACCAGGAGCTTATGAGTATTCTTCAGTCTCTATGGCTTTCCAACCCTGATGAAAAGAAACATGCCCCAAATATGAACAATCATAATTCTCTTGAGGGGGAGCATAATCACACCTCTTCCTCTGGTGTGGATGTAAACAGTGGATCCACCGGTTCGGGGAAGAGTAGTGATGGAGTAAAAAGCTGTAGCGAACCGAATGTCGATGGATCTCAAACTCAGAACAGTTTGATCACAATGGAGAAAGCACACAATGAAACAAGTACCAAGTGGAAACAGGATGCAGAAAAAGCAGAGCAGGAAGAGGAGGATTCAGCCACAGATGAAACAATAACAAGCAATGATAGTCCAGGAGAACCTCCTGAAACACCAGCATCCTCAAGCAAAAGTTCTGGAGAGTCAAGCGGTAATGATAAAAACCTCTCCAGGAAACTGTCTCAAGATCCGGACCCTGTTTGGGTGCTAACCTTGCTAAATAAAATAGAAAAGCAGTTTATGACACATTATTTAAGTGCAATGAAAGAATTGAAATTGCGATGGAGCCTAGAAGATACTGATCAGCTTGACAAGATGATAGATGAACTTAAAATAGAGGTTCAAAATAAAATTCAAACAAGCATTGACAAGGAAATAAGGAAAATTCAAGGCAGAGTAGGGTTACCAAGACCTCCTACTGAGGCGATATCCAGAGTTTCAACTAAACAAACTGAAGAAAGGAGACAGAGGCTTAAGATCAAGCTACAGTCTACGGATTCACAGGCTGAAAAAAGTGATTCCACAACAGGAACATCCTACAGTGACCAGCGAGCGGACAATATTGATGAATATTGTCCCTGTGAAACTTGTATGGAGAAAAATGTAAATTCCAGACAACCTCTTTCAGTGGAAGTCAAGAGAACTGCACCTGTTGCTATTGACTACGACCTGAAGAGGATTCTGCTGATGAAAACCACAGCGGATGGGGCAGATCCACATGTAAATGATAAGGACACAAAAGTAAAAATACTTGTAGAGCAAGTTATTGTTGGAGCAATACGAGAAGTAGAATCTGAAAAATCTGTTGCTTTTTCAAACACTGAAGTCCTAAATGAAGAAGAGTCAGAACAAGAAGAAAGATATGTTTTAGTGAAAGAAGCATCATCAGAGAAATTGGAAGCAGACCGTGAAGGAGCAAAGAAGGACTGGTCAAAGTTGAAGAGGAAATTGCTTCCATCAGTGCGAATAGTTCTTCAGGGCAAAATGAAGCAACAGTCAACAACAGATGCAGCAAATAACGAAAAAGTTACTATTAATGAAAGTGACCAGTCAGAAGAAGAAGACAGTGAAGCCAAAATGACTGCTGAACAAGAAACTAAAGTATTAATTAAGAATAGGTCATCAGAAGAGGCTGACCACGGTGAGGCTGTGGATAAACACCCAGCATTTGAGGTTAGTGTAGCACAAATGACTGATGTCAAGTCCAACAAAGAAAAGGAGGTTGAAATAGACAAGGAGAGTCTTTTAGAGATTACATCTAATGCGGCGTTATCAGAAGATGAAAAAGCAGCCATAGAAACATCCTCAATAACCACAAGTGGACATGAATGTGAGAAAGATAAGACTGTGGTAACCTTAACAGAGCAGAAATCTGACACGGAAGAAGCAAGCGAGGGTACTGGTACCACCAGTGACCATGACTCTGTGGGGGAGTCAGGTGGTACCAGTGATGGAAATGAAACTGAGGATGAAGAAGAGGCAACATTTGATGATCTGTCAAGTATACAGGAGGAAGAAGAAACTGAGGATGAGCTTTCCGTTAAAAGAGAAGCAGAATTGAAAAAAAGCCAAATCCCTGCAGCACTGTATGAGAACAGAAAAGAGAAAGGTGAGGCAAAATCAGAGGTTCAAACATCTGAAAGTGAAGAGGTTAAGGAAAAGAGCATTGTCAGTGGGGAACATACAATTTCCCCTGTCAATTCAGGCGATTCCCCAGATGAGAATGAAGCAGCTAAGTCGGAGTCTGATGAAGAAGACACAACAGAAAATGAAGTGCATGCTGCACAGGTTTACAGGGGTTCTTTAACTAAAAGTGGAGATAAAACAAAGGAAACTAAGAGAGCTGCAAGCAAACATAAATCTGAAGAAGGTGCAGAAGGGGAAGAAGGAACGGGCACAGATGAAGAGAATCTTCCTGCCGTTAGTGCAAATGAATCAGATGGAAACAGGGATTCATCAACAGAGGATGAAACATCAGAAGAACAGAATAAAGGAACAACCACTGGGGATGAGAATATCTCAGAGGAAGAGACAGCTCTTAGACAAAATGGAAAATCAAAGTATCAGATTGCAAAAGATGAAACTGCAGCAGAGGGGACAGAAAATGAAGTTAGTGAAGAGGAAAGGACAATTGATGATGGAGAACAAACTGGCACTGCTGGTGAAAGTGATTCTGCCGAAGACGTAAATGACATTACCACAGATGATGATGATGATGACGATGATGATGAAAGTGCAGAGGAGAATGATGGCATTTGTGGTGAACTCTCAATTAAACAGCCTGAAAATGAAAACAAAAAATACAAGCAGGCTGGGGATGAAGCAACAGTGACTGCAACAAGTGAACAACAATCTGAAAAAATTGACAATGCAGAAGAGGAAGAGGCTTTCAGTTGTGAAGAAGAGTCTTTCAAAGTAAAAAATAGACTTGCTTTGGCTCTTACAAGTGAAACAGCAAATGACAGTGAAGAAAACAAGATTGATACAGATGCGACACATGAATCTGATAAGGATGCAGTGGGAGGAGCCACAGGTAAACAGGAATCTGAAACAGAAGATGAACCTAATAAGGAGAAAGAAGATAGGTTAAAAGAAGAGAATACCATGGATGGTACTGATACTGAGGAGGAAGATACAGGTCAAAGCAAGAGTGATTCTGCAGATGCCCTTTCAAATGATGAAACTTCAGCTACAGAGACAAAACACAAAATCAACAAAGCCTATAACGCTTTGAATGAAAAAGAGCCAGAAAAAAGAAGAGATGGTGATAATCATGATGTTTCTGGAGATACTGACCAAGGATCTACAACTGAAAGCAGCTCCAAGGCTGTGACTGAAAATGAATCAGAGGAGGAAGGTAGCATATCAGCCACAGATGATGAAAATTCTGACAACAATTTAGGAGAAGATACGGATGAAACAGCAGGCCAAGAAGACACATCCACAGTTAAAGGTTATGATGATTTGGGAGACAAGAATTTAGAGGCCCAGTGTAACGATGAGATTTTAGATGAGACTTCACAAGAATACACTGATGAAAAAGAGTCTTTAGGTCATGTTGAACCTGTTGAACAATTGTTCTTGGCCAAAGGACTTATGTCATCAAAAAAAATGGAAGACAGCACTGCGGAAAACCAAAGCATAAAGGAGGACACATCAAATGTTGGAACATGTCCCGAAAAATCTGAATCATTTGAAAATGAAAGTGAATCTGAGTCCAAGCAGGAACATTTCTCAGAGGCTATCTCTAAAGCACATGAAGATAATAAAACCACAGTTGAAGATTCAAGCAAAATTGAAAAATTTGACAGCAAGGGCATAGAAACTAATAATGGAGAAAAATCCAGATCTAAGGACGCATATGAAGAAGAAGATGCTTTAGATAAAGCTTATAGTGAAGAAGCTACAGATGATGAAGAAGATGGATCTGTAGAAGAGAAGGAACCAAAATGTATTGAGTCTGAAGAGAAGAAGAGCAGCACCCTTAATAGAAAGACTGACCAAAAAAGCATTAAGGATTATGAAAAGGAAGATGAGGATACTGACACACCTCATGAAGCCTGGAATGGAAGCTTGGGAGACTCAGCTGATGGCGAAGACGAGGCCGAGGAAGACTCAGAACCTGAAGAAGACCTTATCGATAGAAAGAAGCCTTTTGTTGCGGACAAGCTGGAGAACCTAGACACAACTAAGAAAGATGCCAAGAAAACTTTACTTAATCCGCTAGAGGCTTTAATGAAAGAGAGAGCTGAATCGGAGGATGGTGCATATGCTGATATTGAGGATTCTGAGACTGAAATACACGACCAGGGTGATGTCCCTAGCATTGAATCAAAGTTTTGATTGATTAAGAGATTTTGCTGAATTGCTTCAAATTATAAATCATCTGGATATTTAGGACAGTTGCTAAGAACTATAAAGTGAACAGGATAATAGCAACATTTATTGATTCATATCTCCTTATATTTGTATCAGTAGCTCAACATATTCAAAGAACAAACATTTAATGCACTTTGTAGAATATAAAATGCTGAAACGTTACTTCCGAATAACTTCTTAACAATTTGCATTAAAAAGAATCTGAAATACTTGAATATACTCTGTATGCAGTAGGTTTGCATAACTGTAGTGAATCTATTATGTGAATGATTACAATGTGTTGTAGGATTAAATTATATTTGGTTGTATTTTGCCTAAAATATCTCTACTAAAAAAGCTATATATTTTCTAGTCATTAACAACATTGACAGGTTATATTCCGAGGAAGAATCTTGAAACCCATAGAATTTCATCAGACATGTTTAGTTCAAAATTGTCAGGGAACAATGCTTGTTTTATTATACCAAGACACACGCTAGGATTTCCTTCTGTCTTAGATTTTGCAGCCGTGTTTCTCAACAAGGAAGAACATTATTATTTGTAAGCATTGGCTGAGTGTGCAGCAGAACTATCGGAAACTGTATTATCTTGAAAAATAAAATAAATTCAAACAATGATGTTTTTGTTCATTTTTTTGTCATTTTAGACATTCAAGGTATGAAGATTACATCTGATGTTTTCCTTTTTTTAAAATGGGCAAACACACAGAAATGAAATGCAACATAACACAATACAGTGTAGGCTAGATTTATACTAAAATACAAAATGTATTTTAAACTTTTTTTTTTTTTTTTTTTACATTTGACATATTTTATTCAGACAATACACATATACACATAGTCTAAAATAGAATAGGCGGAAGGAAAAGCTTGTTTTGTGTTATGCAAAGTTTTACAGTCTTTTAGCTCTTTCAGCTTCCCAATCCATACATTAATCCCAACAAAAGACACACAATGCTGCTTTGCACTTGTCTCGTTTTTGAAACAGTCCCTCAATATGCACCAGTAACTTGCTATTGTTTATATTATACATAAACTGCGCTGTTTTAGACAATCTCTGGTTAAATGCTAAGTAAAAATGTAAATGCGATTCCATAAAACAGGCTTTTTTGGATGAGATTTTCTAAATGTTTGCTTCTTGGATCATAATATTAAACTGATATTATTGTTATGAATCTGGTCTACTGCCAACCACATAGTTTACTTTATGTAACAATCTATCAAACAAATTTCTGAAAGATATTACATTCATCAATATTTAACTTGTAGTATGGCGACTAGAATGGTATCAGACTCTCCATGGAGGATTCCTTTATTGTCTTTGTGTAGTGAACCCCAGACAGAGTTGATGTATGTGCCCTTCCCACGCTTTCTCGTTAAAGTCTCATGTGGTCATGTGACACAGTTAATTGGTGTCTCTCTCTGACTGACTGCTTAACACAACAGTGGGAAGTCTGCTCCTGCTTGGAGTTAAGTTTAGCACCTTTAATAGTATTTAAACTACATCTGCTAGGTGTTTGATTTTAAAGATAATAAATCATAGCACATATTGTAGCACATGTAAAGTGATTATGCCAGACTCTTATATGTAAAAACAAGAAAAACAAAACCTATATATTAAGGGTAAATAAATAAATAATATTGTTCTGAAATGAAAGGTTTTGCAACTTTCCCGCCCATTGACCCAAGCAGCACTACAACAATCGTATAGATGGAGCTATCACAGGATGTTAAACACATACTATGAAGATATCAAAATCTTCTTATTTCCTGATGCTGAGATCTGCGTAAGATCTTTCTTTTTTACTTAACACCAACACACATGACAAGATAGGAAGCAGTATGACAAGACAAGTAGATGTCAAATGTCAAGTAGAAAACAAACAATCCAGAATTTTCCATTTTATCCAGATTTTTCACAACTATCAGCTATAATTGCACCTAAAAATCTTATCATCATATTTCTTTTTAGCATTTCCAGAAGAAAAAAAAAGGTTTCCTTAGCTACAAAAAAGTTATAATCAAAACAGTTAGCAGCTCAGGTCAGACCTTTGTGTCAGATTTGTTCTGCCCCCAAGTGGCCAAGAAATAATCCAACTGTCCATCTATCACATGGCTTCACGGAGACAAATACACTCAACCATATAGTTTTTATAACTATATGGTAGTTCTTATTATTTATTCCAATTACCTTTTTTCCCTCTGTGTGAAGATATTTGTATATATCTTCACACAGAAATATTATAAATTAAGTGCTAGATGCATTGAAGTGCTTATTTCTGTGCAGAACAAGAGCTTTAAATGTACACAGCAAACTAGACACCCAAACATGCAAATATTGACTTAAATTCACAGAAAAATTAAGTCTGATGTCAGAGCATACACCTTATTGAATGTCCTACTTTGTTAATGAAAAGGTATAAAAACCATGAGGAAAACTATTAAACAACCTGAGTTTTAGGTGTGAAAAAAAAAGAAAAAAAAAAAGCTGCCGGAAAGTTCGATACTTTGATTTTAATTCAATCTTTAAAGCTTTTGGATAAGCAAATAAAGGAGGAAGCACCTGCTTGCTGGCAGTTGGCAGTAATTTCCACAGTAAACACTGGAAGAGTGAGGAACGTCATCCGGAGCACAATAATATGGGGCTTTCCCGCAGCCATGTTTACCTCACAGCCACTTGCCTGTGGAGCAGCTGCAGAAACTTGCTTCCAACTAGAGCTGCAGGGAGAAATGGCAGGGATGTTTCAAACCAAGATTGCATGAATCTCTCCAACTTTATTGTAGAAATTTCCTAGATTTATGTAATGAATGTAATAAAAACACTAATATACAAAACACATACAACCTAATAATCAGAATATGTCATAATAATATGGAAATATTCCAACATTTTCCAAAATATATTTTGAAAGGGTTTATTGATTAAACATTTAACATAGATGTCTGCAATAACCCAAGTTCACCTGCAAAAAAAAAGAAGAAACATCATCCGATAATATAGGCAGCAATTAGTGCAGTTCTATACAATGTAATAAGGTGGAATGGCATATCACAAATATTTTGAAAAACAAAGAAAACTAAATACAGAAATCCATAAACATTAATAAGTCTTTAAAATTTAGGAAAAAAATGTAATGCTTTCCTTTGATATGTAATGAATTGATGGTAAAGAATGTAATCCTGCAAGTCAAGAGTAAGGCACTCTCTCTTGCATCAGAACAAACTGATGGTTCTGGTTACAGGCGTATTTCTATTCTTCTGAAAATTCCTGAAACCACTTATGCAACCAAAATCTGGAAGTAGAAAGAATTATATTTCAACAAAGATTCAAGTGAACTGATCTCCAAGAAGATACAGACTAAAACACATTCAATACTTTGCCTAAAAAAGAAAAATGCATATTTTCTAAATATGTTTTGTACAAATGTCATGTAATAAGAAGAAAGATGAATGGAGAAGTGCATCAAGACATTCATTATAACAACTTTAGGATAAAACGGGGGAGGGTTTCCTAGAAAGAGAATGAACTCAAAAATCAGCTCAGGATATTCTCTGATAGCTTTTAGAGAGTGGCCTTGCCATTCATCAGAATTGATTCCAATTAAAAATCTATGAAAAGAACGAAGGATCAGAGTGCATTTAAGATGGGTCAAAACCCCACTTTAACAATAATTGCAACCAGATTCACTGTGAAGGGAAGTTTTAAAGCTGCAGTTAGAAAAGCAAGATTTTAAGCCTAATATTGCATAATCACCTAAAGTTTAATATTTGCTCTTATGAATCATAACATTGTACTTGAATACATTTAACTCACTTAACTGACACATTTGTGTTGCTTCTAGGTGGCCTAGGTTGAACCTTACAGTGGCTGGCAAAATAAATATACGTTAGTAATAAATTTACGTTAGTAGGACCATTTTGTATGGTTGATTTTATCAATATTTTTTGAAGCAATAAACTTTATTTGGTAAAATATACAAAACATGCTTCAAAACAGCTGCTTATATTATACTAAAAGAAAATGATGTTTCTTCTAAATGTAGCTTCTCTCCCTGGGGACAACAGTAGTGCAAGTCCATTGAAATGTGGAGCTCGATTGTTGCTTTTATTGTCTATCACTGAGGCTTTTTATGGCAAACAGAGAAACAAAACCTCACACTTCATGTGTGACAGAAGATAGAAATGGTTCCCACACAGACAGGAAGTCAAAAGGAGGCCTCTTGCGATGCTAAGGGGGATCAAACTTAAGAAAAATGTGTGTCCTTGTTTACAGAGTGACTGTGAATAAATCAAACCTTTAATAAAGTAACTGACTGCATTGCTTCCTTCAAATGTTTATCTTTGCATGTTTTTGCATAACACTATCACCCCCCCCCCCACACACACACACACAGTTATTAACATGCACAGACGTTTTCAGTTCATATAGTGCACGCTTGCAATGATAATGGGAATTGCAAGAAGCAGTTGGCAGCATTTGTATGCCTTTGGCACAGAGCTGGTCAGAACTACATTACCAGAAGAGACCCACGCTCCCTTTCTTTCCCACTGTTGTTCAGGTTATCCTGTGGGGCCACTTATGACCCTTCTGCAAGCAGGATGCAATGTCTGGGGACCCCAACAGAGCAGTACACAAGCATCCGCCAAGCCCTGGGAAGAAAACAAGGGCTGATGGAAAAACTAGAAGAAAGGAGTTTAAAGAGGAACAACAGTTAGGAACCAGGACGCACTCAATAACACTAACCGTGCACCTGCAGCCTCTGTGCGCCTGTGTGTAAGTGTATGTGTGTGTGTCCGAGTGAGGTTGTTTCGTCAAAGAACTAAAGTGCCACACAGTCCCCATGCACGGCACAGGTGGTCCAAACAAAAACCTGTGAAGTGTTGCCCAGAGAGTAATATCTCCACGTTGTGTGTTGTATTAAGCCCCCCCATAGGAAACACACACTTCCAGTGCTGCAAGATTTA